AGTCGCACCACTTCGAAAACCGTGGCAGCTCTCACTGTCGTGAGTGGCCTTCCTACCAACCCTAACGTTAGTAACGTGCTCTTCCTAAACCTCCCACGCGAGACTCTTCGCTCTGGGACACTGTTTACGACACCGAGATTGCTGGCAGGCACAGCGGCTGAGGAGAGAGACTGTGAAGGGGACTCTGAGTTAGGCGTGCAGAGCGCGGAGAAACCAGGAGGAAAGGAAGCTGTGCAAACGTCCGAGGAAGTGGTGATGATGATGATGACAGATGAAATCCTTGGGTCCGAACACCCAGCTGCCCGAAGACAGGAAGGCGACGAGCGTCTGGCAGCCGAATGGCATAAAAAAGTGTTTTAGAATTAATGGCAAGAACCCTCCCCAGTACGTGACGCTCCAGTTCACAAAAGCTCTCTGCTGACTGCCACGGGAGACGGTCGGCAACCGGCCAGGCAGGGGTCACGCTGTTTATTTCATGCACGAGAACCCCGAGGGACCAGGACGGGGCTGACGGAGAGATGCCCGCAGGCTCCGTGAAAGAATAGGAAGGTTCTTTAACGCAAGGGTTGAGGAAAGTTCCCGACTCTGGCACACAAAGTAGAAGGAAGGCGTCATGGGGCCCAGCCCTCCCACGCCTCTAGGGTCCGGCAGTACGTCCAGCTGTCTGGAGAGAACGTTCTGCCAGCTGCGAGAATGGCCATGTGCCATTTTAAGAGACTGTCAGAAACAGCTGTTCACCAGGTTCAGGTGGCTGGAGACAGAACAACCCAGCACAGCTCACAGCGTTAACTGTCAGGCCCGGTGAACCGATGGTTCCGTCCTCACTGCCCCTCAGCAACAGTGGGACCCGCGGCCACCCACAGACAGGGTCAGTTCTCACACTGACGGGCGAGGGAGCTCGAGACACTTGGCCAAGGTCACGCAGCTGGTAAGTGGCGGGCTGCGCCTTAATTTCTGGCCATTTGCTTCTCAGTGCTGTGCAATCTGTACTTCACCAAGCAGTACCATGAGCCTCTCAGGCACTAACTTGCCCCGAAGCTGTATTAGTAGTTGGGTGCTTTTCACTGTCTTCCTTCTGCTTCAAATAAACTTGGAGGAACAGATTCATTTTGGGACGCTATGTGGCAGAAGGGATGCTGGCGAGCTGGCATGCACGTGGAAAAAGACAGCAATGGCGAAGTCATGGAAATGCTGATGTACCAGGACGGGGCATGTTTGGCCCGGGGAGGGTTGACCTTTGTGGACACGGGATGGCGAGCTTCAGAAACGGGAAGGCCATCAGAGAGGAGGGAAATTCGGCTTTTTCGGAATGGCGGTGGAGAGCAAAAGTTGCAGATACAGAGATATTTGCTCGACGCAAATAAGAAGTTCTGAATAACCGGAGCTACCCTACCATGGAATATCATTCCTCGTTAGGTAGCAGCCACAGTTGATATTAAAGGCGTTTGAACAAAATGAAATGACGACCAGAGTCAACACTGTCTTTCTTCTTTCAGTAAAATGACGACCTTCCTCCTGCCGCTGGTTTCAGCGGGGATCCTGGCTGCCCATCCTCCCTCACAGCGGGGTCTAGCTGTATAAACGAGTTCCTGATCCTGGGAGGGGGGCGGGCGGGAGTTTGGCCACTGCTGTACTACTTGCTTAGAAGGACATCGCTTGCCTTCCCTTCCCCTCTCTCTTCCTAGGGGCCGAAATGAACGGGACAAGGGCTGGGAGCTTTGCCCACAGAGGCAAGCACAGCACTGTGGCCGGCAAAAGCAACAGGACGGCTCCCAGCCCACCCCCTGCCCGCACCTGGGCTACCTGCCTAACCAGGTACAGCTCCATGACAGGAAAAGAGACATCTGTCTAGCATGAACTAATGTAGTTTTGAGTTTCTCTATTACAGCGGCTCAGACTATGTCCCAACCAATAGAAATATTTCTTGGAGATGTACAAACTAAGGTATTATGCAAAGATTTGTAAGCGATGATTTCTACAATCTTTTAATTCTGTACCCACCCCTGCCAATTTATGTTTTCTTCCAAAACCAGATGTCCCCAGTCTCCACCGTCGTCAGACATGAGCACTCCATTTTGTTAGCGACCTCATTTTTTTTAAAGTACCGAGGTTCAAAAAATCAAACACTTTTGATCTCCTGATCCCTTTTATTTAAATCTCCATATCAGGTCTGTTCCTAAGGTTCATCTCATTTTTCCATTAGAAACGTCTTCTGCAATGACACGGATGATAAAGATATTGTAAAGTTCTGTGTGTGGTTATCTGAACTTAAAAAAGTGGCATATTATTTAGCCTGCACGTGAAACATACTTTTGCAATTATTTTCCCTCAGGGGAGAGAAACCAGAGTCCAGGCCTCACTAAAGTTCAAGGTTTGGATAATGCAAATATGTTTTGGCTCAGAGTGTATCAGGAATCAGACATAATTTTGCATTGGTCAAAACACCAAGCCAGAAGCATATTCTGATTTATTAAAGGTATCTCTAAGTAGAATAAAGGAGCCGAGATAATGAAATGAGATTCTGGCCTGTGTGCCTGGGTTCTAGGAGGAAATAAGCCGGTGACAGGCTTTTAATTGTCCCATAAACATGCCGTTTTCATTTCAAATTTCATCTCACCGCTCATGTTTTTTTTTTCTCTTATTCATAATGCCCTCACGTCTTTTCTAATTTACGCACTCACAAGTTCTTCAAGACTTTGCTCTATAATTTTCCTGCCCTTCATTTGTCCCTTGAAATCTGTAGTATATAATTCCAAACCTAGTGAAGTTGTCAATAACTGTTCCTTACTGCTTCCCAGGTCTTAAGTTTTCTCTGGAATCCTTCCCTTTTAAAGTCCATAATAGGTGTTTAATACATAGATCTGAAGCACGGATAATTAAAAGCTATGGATCATAGATGTTTTTCAATGATATGAAAGCTGTCAATGAAGAAAATAGAAATCTATTCCTCTGCTAATTAAAAACAATCCACGAGGATGAATGGATTTGGTTTTCTCACAAATGGACTTTTCGAGAAGAAAAGCTTTTGTGAATTTTGAGCTTTGTTCATAGCAGAACTTATGATATTTGGCATAAAGATCCTCATTTTATTTCATGGAGGCATAACTCGGGAATTATTAAGATCAGTTCTTTCTCCATCCTCTTTAATTATCGCTCAATTAAAAACATCAGCATCAGTTTCTCCAGCCTGATGAATGAGAAGGCATCTTTCAGCAAAGAAACGTTCATGATTTGAGTGAAAGCGAAGTTTATTGGAGGCATTAATATTTCATGGAGCTTCTGGACCCACCGATGCAGAAAGACCAGCTGCTTTCTAATTTCTGGCATGTTTTTCTTATCTCACTACCTGTCTGGCTGAAGGTCCCTGCTCTGGGAGAGAATCCACACGGCTGCCGGATGATCCAGGAAGGAACTGAGTAAGGATGCTGGGATACGGATTTCAAGCCAAACAAAATGGTACCCAAACATTAGGGATGCTGGGATACGGATTTCAAGCCAAACCAAATGGTACCCAAACATGTGAGATGAAGGGTTTATCTTAACATGCAGAATACTTAGGAGAGGATATAATTCATCTAGCATGCCCCTCTCACACTGAATTTTGCAGTCTCTGTTTCAACTTAAACATACTTTTCCTTAGGGAATAGGAAAATCTTGAAAGAGAAATACACAGGCTAAACTTTATCCACTTGGAGAACAAAGTAATGAATGCTGAAGGGAAACAGAAAGGCCTTGGGGACAGCTAGAAATAGACTATAACTTAGTAGAACTGTTATTAATTATTTACGTTTCCCACAGGGTAGACAAAGAGGAATTTTCCCTCTGGCAAGATGGGTTCCGCCTCCCTGATGGGAGCTTTATGCTGCCGTCCAGCACCCCCGCTCCAAGGCTGGAAGGCTGAGGAGGAAGCAGCAAAGACTCCAGCGCTCTCTCCTCCTCCATGCAGGCAGCGGGGGGCTGCAAGGACACACCTGGGCGGTTGCTGATGGAAGCCCGTCCTCTCCCCCAGCCCTGTGTGTGTACGCCTTCTGAATCCCTACAGAGATCAACGATGTTCTCCCACCTGCTAACTCGAGTCCACCATGGGATCGCCGATCCTTCACACTACCCATATCAGCTGGTCTGGTAACGACAAAGCAACTTCTGGGGAATGTTGTTAAAGAATTCTCACCTTTTAATAACTGCCCTCCCTGCCTTCCCCCCAACTGCCCTGCCCGCCCGCCCCCCCCCAAAAAAAATCGCGCATCTTTTACTTAGCAGCATTTGGGAATGAGATGCAGAATCCAAGTTTCCAGATGTGACGTTTTTCTCTTAAGGCTTTCATTTTAAACCATTTGGGGGATGAAGATGCCTTGTAAACGTATGATATAAAATCCTGCCTGCCTCGGGAGAGTGCACTGGATGAATGTCCAGCCTCTTCCTCATGGTCTACAAAGGCCATCGGTGGAAACGGCAGCCTCGTCACTCCCTGTGGTAACCTGGTAAGGGTCGGGCTGGGGACAGGGGTCAGGGGTCAGGCTGCCGGATCTTCTATTCGACGCCCCTGGGCTGCAGCGCTTTTCAAGTTCCTGAATTGCTTTTTATATTTCTTTCTGTCTCCTCGCCACAATTACTTCAATTGCTTATTGATGCTTGTTGGTGCCTTTTTTTTTTTTTGGCAAAACCCTTACGTTCATTTACTGTTAGTCTATCATACAGTACGGAGGATCAGGAAAACAAACTTATTTCCTTTCCCATAAGATGAGCCAGGGTTAAGGCCCTAGGAGTGCGGATCTATGCAATCGAGAAAGCTCACAGACCTTAGTGCGCATTCAGGGGACACTCGGTGGCCCCTTCTCCTGCTTCTTCATCAATTCTCATGTGTCAACTGTTTCAGTTACTCAGACGGTGGGACAAGTGCCCTTCACGGCTACGAAGCATCCCGTTAGGACCAGAGATTGTGTCCTTTGGCCGAGAGCCCGTGTGTCGCTCACGAGCTGAGACCGTACAGCAAACCTTACCTTTTTGTAGAGGCTCCTCAGGTCTCGGTACTGCCACATGCTGTTGAGGACCTGAGAGGCGGCCTTGACCACTTTCGGAGAGTGTCTGGGAAAGAAAAGACAGGAAGGCAAGACGGGTGAGTGGGCAGCTGGGCTTCAAGCTGGCAGAGCTCGTCAGCAAACGGCGAGAATAAACGTCCTCGAAAAAAAAATTTCCCTCTCGAGGAAGACATGGTTCTGCCCCATGCTCATCTCATCGACACGCCTCTGAGGGTGACAGACAGGCACGCGCCGCCACAATCTGGCGAAGAATGTTGGAAATGCAGACAGAAGAGCCGCGCACTGAGTCAGAATGCAAATTTGGCATTTGACGACGAAACAGAACAGAAAGAAGAGAAAACGGTGATTAGGAAGGGCCAGATTCAGGGGTTTTCATGGCAGTGTTGTGTAAGCCCTGAGTAGGAAGATAAAAAAATATTCATTTTCTCAGCGGAAGCATGAGAGTGTATACGGGGTCGGTGCTACACGCCTGCGTGATTATAGGGACTCGCTCTTTATACGCTGCTGATGCCGAGGGCAAGGGCTTGGCAGTGCAGGCAGATGTGCTCACACACTGCCACACGCACTCGCGTGTACACAGAGGAAGAGGAGAGCATCTACAAGCGAAACTCTTCATACAACTGATGTTCCATCCTTTGGACCACAGTGAGAAAGTAAGGTTGCATAAACCTTTGGACTAGTGGTTCTTACCATTTTTTTGAGTCGTGGCTTTGAAATCCCTCTGAAACTATACCTGAGTATTTGGTCTGTGGTTCAGCATCTGCATCTCGAAATAGATACGAGATCGATAAATCCACGTTGATGTAATTCTATCATATTCATGGCAGTCATTCTGACCACTGGTGAGGGACACTCCTAGCTACCTACGGATTCTTTGTTCTAATGGGCTGGTCTCCCAACCAGCTGCACAAGTCTGCTGGGCGCCACTGACAAAGTGCCTATGTTAGGGGTTGGCACGCTTTTTCTATAAAGGGTCAGATAATAAATATTCTTTGCTTTAGAGACCATATGGTTTCTGTTGCAGCTCTTCAGCTCTGCCATTGTAGCATGAGAGGAGTCATAAATAATACATAAACGAACAGATGTGGCTATGTTCTAACCAAAGGTTATTTACAAATGCAGGTGGCGGGCGGGACTTGGCCCAGGGGCCAAAGTTTGCCAGCCCTGGTCCGTCTGGATGGTGATTCCTGGAGTCACACAGGACATAATCATCCATGAAGACTCCCACGTGAAGTCCACCCCTGAAGATGACCAGTGATGCAGTGGTCCACAGACCCCCTGAAGAGAATAGCTGAATTGAGACCCAAAATGCCTTTGAAATAAAATAGCCTTTGGAACAGAAAGTGGGCAGATGGTTAGATGGCATCAGGCTGAGGTTTGATTCGAGAGCCAGAGGAAATGGGTGTTGCAAGAAAGTGTATTTTGTAATCAAAGTATGGGATGCGAATGCATGGGCAATTAAATGGCTGCTATTTTCCTGGGTCTTCATGTTTGCAATTTAGGCCAACTAAGTTTAAAGTTTCTTCATTCATTTACTTACAGGTAACAATAACGGTCACTCTTACTATTATTATTACTGAGATGGAATTCGACTTTGTCCGTGTGATAAAATCTATTAGTTACATCAAGTATTTTTAAAAGAAAAAAATAGAATTCTTATAAATTCCAAAATTTTATCTCTCATAAAAGATGAATTATAATTTAAGCAACAGATATATTTTCTTTTTACTAAAATAAAATAGATGGTTGTTAAATGATTTCATAATTTATGCTAGTATCATGCTCTCAATGTAATATTAAGTTGTTTTGACTTAAAGGCAGAGAAAGTTCAATCTTTTCATGAATACAGATACAGGTATATTTTAATCTTATACAATCAATGCCGAACAAAAATTAAAAGCTATGTTTTGCTGTATTTTAGTATTGTCAGCTAGGTATTTGTCCATGGCAACAGTCAAACAACTCTAGAGAAACGTATATTACTATTCAGGTAGTGATAATGTAGTTGAAGTATTCAATACGCAAAAAGCCCTCCAACACAGAGTATTTTTTTGTTTCTACTTCTTTGCTTACTTACAAAGTAGAGAGACTGTGAATGTGTGATAAGTAGCGGGTTTTAACTTCTCAATTAAAATGCCAATACATCTTAGTGTTACAACAACATGCGAAGGTCAAAGAAACATTGCTTCCTCGTCAGACTTTAATTTTGATTCAACCACTAGACCGGTACCATAGCAACTTCTACTTGAAAAACAGTAACTATTGATAGGAGTTGAATAATTGCGTGTTTCTAACTTGACAAGTGATTATAACCTCAGTCACCATACCCAATTCCTTACTGACAGTGGCTTTTTTGTCTTATGACAAAATATGGTGATACATTCAAAACTATTTCCTATATAATTGTTAAAATTAGGGAAAAAAAACCCCAAATGTACTTTTGAAACAGATGGACATGGCAGAAGGTCCATAATGGGTGTTTAAAATGATGTAAACAGAATAATATAAGTTATTGAAAGAGACCTCAAAATGATAAGTATAAGTTGCCTGTTAAGAGTCGTTAATGATTATACAATGTCTGATCTTCACTGGAATTGTCAAATTAGGGGTGGCTGAAGATTTCGGTTGGTGCAATTCATTGCGGGGTTCACCACAGCCATCCGGCAGCAGGACACCAGACTACCAGTCCCAGTGGTTGTGCTAACCAGACTCAGTGCGTTGTGCTGTTTACACAGACTGTGATCGGCACTTTGATAGTCTGACTCATTAACATCATGGCATGTTAAAGCCTATGAATATTCAGAAATGAAACACAGAGATACATCAAATGGAGAATCATAGCTAGGCCGAGTTTTTCATCTGTGTTTCCCCACGCTATCTCAAATTTAAAAATCAGATTTGAACTAAACTTATTTCTGTAAATAATTTTTTAAGGACGATTTAAAGAGGACAGATTTGCAAGCTTTTTATAAATTAGAGTAAATCGGTATTCCTCCCTTTCAATGATAAAATCATTCCCGATTCCAAAAATTCTATTTTCAAAAAAGAATTTGTGTTTTATTAAAACATCTAGAAGGCCATGGAGATCTCATTGACCTCTGTCATAAGAGAACTGAATGATACATGGTGGGCTGAGGGCTAAGATTCAGAGCGATTCTTCTGGATTCCTTTTAAGAACAGTGAGAATAACCAAAGTGAAATGTAGGTGAGAAATGAGGATATCTGCCATTCTAAAAACCTTGTTTTCATCTCCGAATTAGTCACTGTATAAAAAAGAGATAAACTACATGAAAAAATGGATGAAACTGACTAAGCAGGAGAACTGTAACTGGGAAGATCCCTGACTCAATCGGTTCAACGTTCTCATTACACACGGATATCCAAACTGTTAACACGGAATCAAAAAGAGAAAGGAACAATGAGATGAAACAAGTGACTACTCCAAAAAGACATTTTCGGTCAATTAAAGGACATTTATGAGATCGCCTGTAGTGAAAGAAGCTTCTCATTAACAATAACCAACAGTGGACCACATCCAACAGGACCATTTTCTGAATTGGCAGTGGAAATATATACTATTTCATAAATGATTTCCTCAAATGATTTTTTAATTAGTTTCACCAAATAATTTTCTTTAACCATAGGACTGATAAAAGCATCTTGTCTCTTTAAGAACCATTTAGTGATGCTTACAGGAGTGCAGATGCTCACATAGTTGGAAGGGATTAATATATGTCCCTGTCCCCTTCCCCAAAGCTCTCTAGTCTTACAATTCAGAGAAAACACTTTAGTCTTTGAATGTCTTATGATGATAGACAAACATGTCAGTGCTTTGTAGATTATGATTTTATTGTATGCATATGTGTCTGCTTACAAAAACATTAACATATTAAGTTCTCAATGCTCAAATAGGTAAGCATTTCGATGAGAGATTCCAAAGGTCCACTGAAGCTAAATTAAAAAAACAAAACAAAACTGTGTGGCTTCCTACATATGTAGAGTATCATTTTATTGTAAGTACGATACCACAAGGTATAATTCAAGCCAACCATCTACACTGCACAATTACTACCCAAGTGCACTGGGGCTTCTCTACTTGATGCAGAAAAGTATTCAAATCCTAATTCTGAGTTGCTGATTGAACTTATTTGGAGGTCTCAGGATGCTTAAACAGAAGCCTTGAAACTTCTTTTTAGAACACAATGGTAATATCCTGAGTTAAGTGGAATAATGAGAAAATTTCCAGAAGTCGCAAAGTGCATCCCTCGCAGCTTTTAATAACAAAAGAAAAATTATTAGCATTTAGATGTAAAGGAATGGGAGGGGGTCAGGGAATGAAAAGTCAACAAACAAGTCCTTGATAACAAAAGGTTTACCCTTTTAATCTTATTTGATTCCACTGAGGGACTTCCAGGAGGTGAAATTTAATTAAGGTTAGTGAATGTTTCTCTAAGACTGACAGCTCGGTGACACACGAACACCCTGGCTTGTGAAGGTATTTTTCAGTTGCTTATGGTGAGATACTGATTCTTAAATCGAATTGGGGACACCCCCATTTGCGGTGGCGTGGTTGCTTTTACAGGGAGCCTTATCTCTCTACTCCATTCGCATAAAAGTCCTCCTCCTCACCACTATCCTCTACCTGGGAAACTTCTATTTATCCTTTTAAGACCTGATTATTATTTCTCCCAGGATGTATATTATGACAGCTTTCCCTCGGTTTTAGATTAGACAGTAGTACAGGCATAGTGACACGTCAAATTAAATAATTCGCCCCAAATGCATTCAGTAAGAGAGGGTGCTGTAGTAGTACTGAGCTCTCTCTGAGTCCACCACACTCTATTTTCTCGCCCTCCCCACCCGGTGACTAATCTGGAGATCAAAACAAGGTTTTTATCACGGCAGAGAGCCTCATCTCCCACCTACATTTCACTTTGGTTATGCTCACTGCTCTGAAAAGGAATCCAGAAGAATCGCTCTGAATCTTACCACTCCGCCCACCATGTATCATTCAATTCTCTTATGACAGAGGTCAGCGAGATCCCCACGGCCTTCCAGACATGTTTTAATAAAACAGAAATTCGTTATTGAAAATAGAATCTTTGGAATCGGGGATGATTTTATCATTGGAAAGGGAGGAATATCGATTTACTCTGACTTGCTATTGAGAACTGGACAGGCAACGGGCAAAAGCATCATCAAAACTTGGACCTGCAACCACAGAGGAACGACTGCTACAGGACACCTTCATGGATCCAGGTTAAGCTGGTTTGTCTCTTCTGCAATGGCGGAACACACCTGAGTATGCGTGCTGGCTCATCGAGTCTACCTTACCAATATCACAGTGTCACCAAGTCATGGGTTATTAATCAAACTAAAATTACCAGTTAGATCACCTTTCATTGTGGGGCGGGAAGACTGGAAACCATGTGCCGTTTCTCTTCTCTTGATTATCGGAGAAAAATGCTTTCCAGTGACATTCACTAGTGTTACCCATTAGCAGGGGCCGTTGGGCACACTTAGAACCCATCCTGCAAATACCAACCCCATGGCGATGTGAAGTCATCATCCGACTTACTTATCTCCTTTGCTTTTAGAGATGCCAACCAACTTCTCAATGCCACCCGCATCCCGTAAGGCCTTGGCATTCTCCATGTTCTTGGTGATCACTTCGTGCAGGGTGCAGCAGACAGCTGTCACCGTGTCATCCGACATGGCCTTGCTCGCTGTATTGTTGCTGTTGTTCCCTCCTGGAAGCCTGTGGACCAGGTCTCGCATGGCGTATTTGCCTTTGGGGAAAAAAAAATAAAAGGAAGAGTCGAAAAGAGGCCGAGACAGAGGAAGAAGGTAGGGCAGAGGAAGCGGTGGGGACAGGGATGAAAAAGAGAACACGAGGCCCACATTAGTGCAATATTGTCTGTTTCCCGTCCTTGAATATTCCCTGTCAGGTAACCGTAGACACCTACGGAGAACACAGTACTTCCTGATGGTGAACGCATGGGCTTGGGTGCTACATGGATGTGGAATCGTGTCTCTGGGCAAGCTATTTCATCGCCTTTAAACGACTTAAAATCTACGAAGCGAGAATAACGATATGTATCTCACAAGGTTGTTGTAAAGATTAAATGAGTAAATGCGTGGAAAGCACTTAATACACAAGGGTTACTTAGGACACAGGACTCAGTAGATGTTCATGACCAATAGCTTCCTGCTCGATATTCACAAAAGTCAAGAAAACATGGCAATTCTAACGAAACCTCAAAAATGCTTTGATGGGAGCGATGTTGCGACCTGCATTACTGAACAACAGTCGAACCACAAATATATGGAGAGCATGATTACTCATATGGCTTCTGAGTTCCGGCCCCGATGATGCAAAGAGAAATAGTTAAAGCAAGGGAGAGAAGCTTAACAAATAATATATAGCTAGGTGTTCTTTGAACTAGAGTAACTGGATGATCTGCTTGTCTCAATGATGGGATTTTATTATATGGCTCTACCATATAACATTTACTAATTTGACATGTTTTCCTTTGTGTGGAAAGAAAATAAAATCACACTTTGCTTCCTTAATTCGCTTTATCATTATTAATCTTGCTACTCCCAATGATAAAGATACTTATAATGGCATCTTTATGGAGTACTTTGAGTTTACAAAGTACTTTAGGCATTACTAATAACCCTGCAAGACAATTAATTCATCCTACCTGCAGCTTCCAATTCTGTCCCATTAATTTATTTCTGGAACTAAGTAAATGAATGCCTGTAGCAAAGTTGGCTGTTATTAAGTTTTTCCGATGGAACTGGCACATGTCCAAAGGTAAATCCTTCCTTATCTCCCATCCCATTAGACATATTTAGCTAGCGCCTAAAAACTATTAGAGGTATTTTTCCTCTCTAAAGTATAGCCTCATTCTGCTGTTTAATTCTCTGGAGTTTCACACCTGAGGGTAGGAAAAGGAACCCCTAGGGAGGAGGCCATGAAATCTTAATAAATAAAACATAAGCTCTTATAATTTTGGTATCTGCTCCTATCCTATGTAGAAATGGCTTATTTTAGCTAGGACGAAAAATGCTGATGTCTAAATTATTGAAATAGGAAAGTGTCCTCATTCACTTTGTGATAGCTGAGAAGTGCATGACAGAAAGGGTTGGCCTGAAAACCCCTAAATGTAGCATTTTTCTATTGACAGCACTTAGAACAGTTTGGAGAAGACCCTTTGAACGCGGGCTGTCCTCTGAGCAACTTGCTCTATCTATTTATCATTAAGTCACACTCAGCTTTGGCTAATAATTTACTCTGTGGAGCTCAGCATGCTGGAGAATTTAGCAGTTCATTAAGCCCCACAAGCCAATGTAAGACAAAGCTGAGTTTCACCAAAGCTAGAAGATAAATGGCTTTTTTCTTTTTCTTTAAAAGGGAAGTGATGGAGGAAGAAATCAGAGAAGTCTTTCGATTACTGTGCATACGAGGCATTGACAGTCCCGATGGAGTATGGAAGACGGGTTTTGCGACCTTGGACATCATCAAAGATGAAAGCGAGAACAAGGGGATGGAGAGGCTGCAGCATTTTTCAGTTTTTGTTGTTACTGTCATTTTTTAAAAATGACAGCAGATACATTTGAAGACGTGGTTTCATCCCACACAGCTTTCTGACTGGCGAGCTCTTAATGAGATACAAGGTGTCCCGGTAAAGTTCACGTGACAGGAACAGCCACTTCCCCCCAGCACAGCCCCAGAACACGGTATAAACACTGGCATTTTCCACGTGCCCCACGGCGTGGGAAACAGCAGGA